TCTGTAATAAATATTAAAAATCACATGCAACTTTATGTCATCTTGGCTAACTATTAAAGAATTTCCCTGATAAAAGAAGAAAATTTTATGTAGATGATTATGAAGATTAATGTCAAAAGACTAAAGTGGTAACACTTCCCTAATGTCTGCAGTGCCCTGCTACAACCCACCTTTGAGCAACCAAAATAGCCTGGGATACCTCTTAAAAGCTCTTGTTATGTAGTCACTCATTTCACTCTAGGATTGAATCCTCCACAGGACACAACTTGTGCTTTCCCACATTTGTGGCCTTTTCACATCACAGGTACTAAATAAGTGATCACTGAGTTTAAGTTTAGCCCATCAGAAGTAGTTCAGTTAAACCCATAGCTTTATAAAATCAAACAACATTAATTTGCACTTAGATAAACACTTTAATCCTATTTTATATACTCACCCATTATATCTGATTAACTAATTCTTTGTTTCAATTTTAAGTCAATAAGGAAAAGAATAAAAAAAACACAATATATTCTGAAGTTTAAAAAAAAATCAGCCTAAATCTGAAGTATTCAGCAGGGTGTGGCAGATGTAAATTAGAATTAATTCCATTACTCATTTATGTCTTCCAGGATAGCTTTTTTGAGGGAAAATCTTTACAGCTCTATAAATTTTTCTTATTTATTCTCCACTTGTCTTTCTCTTCCTTTTCTGTCAAATATCTTTTTTTCTTACCTATGTAGATGATTTTTCCAAAATAAATGTGAAAAATTGTCCACTTTACTCTTATTCTGAAGAAATCTTCAATGTCAACTTATCTTAGATCATCAGGTTATGAAGAAAGTGGTAGCCATGGAAAACTCTCTCTTTAGAAGTAATTTTAAAACACTGTAAAATGAATCATCCAGACCTATTTAAGCTTGGTCTAAGACTAGTATGTAATGAATGACACCGCACCGCCCTGTCCTGTTAGACATTTTGAGAAACACTGATCAATTTTAATGTTACTAATCATCCCCCTCTCTGGGTGGTGTATTGGTGTGTCTTTTAGGTGTAGCAGTAAGAGGGGAGCAAGGTATTCCTGGCCCACCAGGCCCTGCAGGACCTCGAGGGCACCCAGGTCCTTCTGGACCACCAGGAAAACCAGGCTATGGAAGTCCTGGACTCCAGGGAGAGCCAGGGTTGCCAGGACCACCAGGACCATCAGCTACCGGGAAACCAGGTGTGCCAGGACTCCCAGGAAAACCAGGGGAGAGAGGACCATACGGACCAAAAGGAGAAGTTGGACCAGCTGGTTTACCAGGACCACGGGGACCACCAGGGCCTCCTGGAATCCCTGGCCCAGCTGGAATTTCTGTGCCAGGAAAACCTGGACAACAAGGACCTGTAGGTGCCCCAGGACCCAGGGGCTTTCCTGGAGAAAAGGGTGTGCCTGGAGTCCCTGGTGTAAATGGACCGAAAGGAGAAACAGGGTATGGTGCTCCTGGCCGCCCAGGTGAGAGGGGCCTTCCAGGCCCTCAGGGTCCCATGGGACCACCTGGCCCTCCTGGAGTAGGAAAAAGAGGTGAAAATGGGTTTCCAGGACAGCCAGGCATCAAAGGTGATCGGGGTTTTCCAGGAGAAAGGGGACTGGCTGGCCCACCAGGTCCCCAAGGTCCTCCTGGAGAACGAGGACCAGAAGGCATTGGAAAGCCAGGAGCTGCTGGGGCTCCAGGTCAGCCAGGGATTCCGGGGGCAAAAGGTCACCCTGGAGCTCCAGGAATAGCTGGGCCACCGGGAGCTCCAGGCTTTGGGAAACCTGGTTTACCTGGTATGAAGGGACAAAGAGGACCTGCTGGCCTTCCAGGGGGTCCAGGTGCCAAAGGGGAACAAGGGCCAGCAGGTCATCCTGGGGAGCCAGGTCTGACTGGACCTCCTGGAAATATGGGACCCCAAGGACCAAAAGGCATCCCAGGCAACCATGGTCTCCCAGGCCCTAAGGGTGAGACAGGGCCAGTTGGGCCTGCAGGACAACCTGGAGCCAGAGGAACAAGTGGTTCTCCCGGCTTAGATGGAAAACCAGGGTACCCAGGAGAACCAGGTCTCAGTGGTCCCAAGGGTAATCCAGGGTTACCAGGCCCAAAAGGTGACCCTGGAGTGGTAGGACCTCCTGGTCTTCCAGGCCCTGTAGGCCCAGCAGGAGCTAAGGGAGTGCCTGGACACAATGGTGAGGCTGGTCCAAGAGGGGCTCCTGGAATACCAGGTACCAGAGGCCCCATTGGGCCACCAGGTATCCCAGGATTCCCTGGATCTAAAGGTGATCCTGGAAATCCAGGTCCTCCTGGTCCAGCTGGCATAGCAACTAAGGGCCTCAATGGACCCACTGGACCACCAGGGCCTCCAGGTCCAAGAGGCCATGATGGACAGCCTGGTCTCCCAGGGCCTCCAGGACCCCCCGGGCCCCCAGGCCAAGCAGTCATGCCTGAGGGCTTTATAAAGGCAGGACAAAGGCCCAGTCTTTCTGGGATGCCTCTTGTTAGTGCCAACCAGGGAGTAACAGGAATGCCTGTGTCTGCTTTTACTGTTATTCTCTCCAAAGCCTATCCAGCAATAGGTGCTCCCATCCCATTTGATAAGATTTTGTATAACAGGCAACAGCATTATGACCCAAGAACTGGAATCTTTACCTGTAGGATACCAGGAATATACTATTTCTCCTACCATGTGCATGTGAAAGGGACTCATGTTTGGGTAGGTCTATATAAGAATGGCACCCCCATAATGTACACCTATGATGAGTATACCAAAGGCTACCTGGATCAGGCTTCAGGGAGCGCCATAATCGATCTCACAGAAAATGACCAGGTGTGGCTCCAGCTGCCTAATGCTGAGTCAAATGGCCTGTACTCCTCTGAGTATGTCCATTCCTCCTTCTCAGGATTCTTAGTGGCTCCCATGTGAGCACATTCTCATGGAGCTAACTAAATCTTCTGCTTGGAAAAGTGTTCCCCAACTCCATCCCACCCCATAAAACACATACAGAGGTAGACTGAAAATAATACAATTTTAATTTTCCAAAATACACATTTGAATTTTTAGACCAACTAATTTTCCCCTGGTAAATATTAGCAGCAATGGTAAATATGTGAAGATCCTCATGAGTTTCTAGTCAGCAATCCTAAGCCTCTTAAGAGATTTTCTGTAAACTCCTTCAATATTTAAAAATTTCTGCTAAGTTAACACAAATTATCACACATAAATACCCAGAAATAGGCTTCTAAATTACATTATATTTGGTTTCAGAAACTTAACATTTCTTTTTAAAATAGCTTTATTCTAACAACTAATATGAGAGCTTTCAGGAAACATTTGGGAGGTATCACATAACTTAATAGAACTTAAATACTTGAATATTGAAATTCAAGACACTGTATACCCTAAGCTATTTCAGATGGTGCATTAATATAAGGCTTATATGGCCCCTTTCATTAAGATTGATTCAAATATATAGGTGCATGTATGCTTTTTCTGAAGCTCTCATAAGAAATCAAAATATTGTGCTAAAATGAAGGTGCTTTCGTTATGAACTTTTCAAACTTTTTTGGGATTGCAGAAGAGCTTTTTAAATACCCAGTAAAACCTGGAACAGGTGTCTGACCTATTCTTATTTATTTAACACAAGCAATTGATTTGATTTGATCCCTTAACTGAGTCTTATGTAATATCATTGTGTGGGTTTAAATAACATTGGCAAATGGATCTTGTGCTTCTTATTCTGGTGAAATTATAATTAATGTCAAGCATTTCAAAATCTGTTAGAAATGAAAAGACATTATTTATTTATGCTCTGTACTGTATTTTTATATTATTGTTTAAAACTTTTAAGCTGTGCGTCACTAAAGCACGAAATATTTAATCTACTCATTTACAAAGCAATAAAATAACATTAAAAGATTTTTATGCTGAATTTACTTGAAAGTAACAATTTGCTATTTCATCCATGCTTTTAAGGCTATTCATTTTACAAAGTTAATGAAGAGAAAAACAATAAAGTGGTACGCAGCTTTTATGATTGTTATCAATTATGTCCCTCTACTGAAGATGGGCATTCCATATCACTGGAACTCAATGTGGACTGAGAAGAGGCACCCATAAAAACCACGTGAGGCCTAGAAGCCAGGGTCAAGGGCTAATAAGTGGGCACAGAGAAGTGACAAAAGTCACCCCAAGGTAGAGGTTCTTTTCTGGGAGGCAAAGTAACAGGTGTCAGAGAAATACATAATTTGAAAAAATATTCTGCAATTACTATTTATTGCCTTGGCATGTTTTTTAGTCATAATACTTAAAATTATTTTGATGGCTTGATTTATATTGAAAGGAAGGCAAGGAATTTTTAAATGTCAATCCAAAGGCAAGGGTTTTAAGATGAAAAACACTGCTCTTCAGCATCCATCAGCCCACTAGTTGAATCAGGGCAGTCTGTTTCTAGTCACTGGGATGAAGTCATCTATTTATTCCTTAGAATTAGTCTTTGTGTAACATGAGCAAATGTTCAAATGAAAACATAAAACCCTAGGCTCAAGGCTGGCCGAACCCCATTCTGGCCCCACCACTACTGTTCCTTAAGCAACAAGTATGGAATTTCCACTGGCAGATACTTTGCCCACCCATCTATAACTACTATGTTAAAGGTTGCAGGCATTACCAACCCTCACTCCCAAGCCAGAACACAGCAAAACTGGAATATTTAGTTCTAGGGAATGCATGGAACAACTCAATGTAAAAGAACAGCATAATGAAAGCACCTTCATTTTAGCACAATACTGGCAGGCATGTGAAAGATACTTGAATATTGGCAATTATGACCAAGAAACAGACATGAATAAAAGAACCTCTTAAAACTAGAACTAACTTCACAGCAATATTTAAGATCAAATTAAATCCTCACTAAGGAGCATAGAAAAAGGGACAACTTCTATCTAATTCAGTAGTCACACAGTATTTAACAAACATGTATCAGAAAGCCTCTCTTTGTTACTTACCCTTAAAAGCTGACATTTTAAAATTGTGTTGTATACCAGCGACTATATCCTTCCAAAAATCAAATGTTTTTTGATCACTGTTCTGCTAAAAAAAAAAAAAAATCCATATGTAACAAATATAATAATTCTGTTTCTAAGCATAGTGGAAAGGGTTGGCAATTATAATATTACTGGATTCTAAGGTAAGGATTTATGTTTTTGAAAACAATAGGTTAATAAAGTTCTCTTTTACTTAGTGTTATTTTAGAAAGAGAACTCTTCCATGAAAATTACTACACACACACATGTACATATACAAATAACACTTCTAAAGCCCTTTGTTTCCTTGGAAACATTGACCAGTGTCTTATCTAAACAAATACTAGATATTTGTATACAATTAAACTATAAATTGCTTTACAACTGATACATTTTGGAACGGCAGCATAGCTCAGTGGTACAGTACCTGTCTCTCATGTGTAAGGCCCTGGGTTTGATCTCTAGTACCACAAGGAAAAAAAAAATTGAAACATTTTGTTTGTGGTAACTATAAAACACTGACTGGGGCTGGAGATGTGGCTCAGTGGTCGAGTGCCTGAGTTCAATCCTTGGTACCCCCCACCCAAAAAAAGCAAAAGATCTGAATACATCATTGCGATTAAGACAATATGTGCAAAAAGGAAAGCAACTCTGAAATGTAAACTCATTTACATTCATAGGTTTTCATCTCAAAGTATGAACAGCTACTTCATCTTGATATATAGTACAAAGCAAAAGTATGAATATATTAAACTGCGCTCAGAAAATGAATTTAAAAATTTCATCTTGCTGGGCACCATGGTGCACACCTGTAATCCCAGTGACTCGGGAGGCTAAGACAGGAGGATTATGAGTTCAAAACCAGCCTCAGCTATTTAGTGAGGCCCTAGGTAACTTAGGGAAATGCTGTCTCAAAACAAAAAATGAAAAGGACTGGAAATGTGGCTCAGCAGTTAAGCACTCGTGGATTCAATCCTTGCAATAACAACAACAAAATCTTACCTAATTTTTCTGGTTTAATATTATTTAGAATGCTTAACGATACATAGAATGTTCTTAATTGCCTTTACTCTTTTTTATTCTGCAAATGAAACCAAGAAAATATTCTTTCAGATCAGTTCTGTATTTTCTTTTTCTAGACTTTTGCACCCCCTGCTGGAGAACATATTTATGTTCCCTGGGGGGAAAAAACGGCCACTGCTATTTAATTTCCCAAAACTATTTTGACCAAATTTGCCATGTCTTTCTTTCTTGGTCACCTTTGAAACCACAAAGAATAAAGTAAATAAAATCTCAACTCAAAAGTTACATATGATAAATCATCTGATTTATGACTGAACACATATCAGATATTTTTTTTTTAAATTCAATGTTCACTCACCTTTGTTAAGGAATCCACCACCCTGGCACACAGAAGAGCTCCTGGCAGGTCAAAGTAATTATCATAAAAATAATATTTTCCTAAAAAAAGAAAACACACACAAAAATTTCAAAATTGGAAACAAATTAATGCCTCATACATGAAGGATACGAAGAAATTTGAGGGAAGAGACAATGGACTGTGGTTTATTTATTTGTACAGCCCCCATTTCAATTCAAAATGGCACTAATACAGGCTCCATGTCTGTTAAGGAGCATTTAGTTTAAGCTCTGAGGGCACTATCTGAAAGGTAAAATATGACATCTACAAACATGACATTACAAAAACACAAACAAACTTCTCAAACAATGACAAGTGTAACAAAATAAACCTAGTAGTAATAATCAATAACTGCAACTAATTTCTGGTTACTACACTTTCTGAAGGAGAAAAGTACATTTTAACACTGCAGTGTGGGAGAAAAAGAACAAAATGGCAAAAAAAAAATAGAGTAAATGAAAAAGTAGCACAAAGAATATTTAATAAGGTCTATCTAGAAAAATCTTTTAACTATTCCCTTTTAATTTATGCACATCAAAGTTTGGAAATAATTTTTTGAAAAATCATTTTACAATTAGTCTTAATGATGCTTGTTAAAGACATTGGTTAAAAAAAGTGAAAAATCATTTAAAATATGGTAAAATAGGGCTGAGAGTATAATTTAGTGATAGAGTACTTGCTCAGCATTTGATCCCCAGCACCAATAAATACACAGGAAATTAACAAACTAAGCATTTTATTTAAAAAATTGAGTTGTCTTAAAGAATATGAAAACTATACGCAGGATATATTGCAAATATAAAATGGAATAGGAAGAAGTCACAATTTATGCTATCAGTGACACTAAATTCCAAAACAAATAGCTCTGTGAAGAGGTCCACAAATAGTGCCTTTCCACACCAGTGCTTGGTCCATCAAAAGTACTGCATTCAGCTGGTATGCCAGCAAATTTCAGTGCAATACAAGAATGGCCAGGGTAAGCTGATAAATTAATACTATGCCCTGTAAGTACATGGTAGATTGTCTTAGGAAGATGCAGGAGTACAGGACAGGTACACTCACTCCAGGATCTCATGGAAGAGAGGCATTAAATTTATTCTGTATGGCCTTGGGGTAGAATTAAACCTGAACTCTTACATATGCCACTTTTGGATCTGCTGTCCCTGAACAATACTACTGATGGCCCATGTCATATCCCTGGGACCCACATCTGAGTCTAGCCACAGCTATGCTGAACAGCATCAACCCACCTAAAACACAATAGTGTTACTTGCTTTATCCTAAAGGTCCTTGGCCACCCTCAACTAATGGGATTAGGAGCCTGTGAATGAAGATCACAGCTTCCAGTCTCCCAGACTGACAACTCTTAAGAGGTATTCTTTGTGTATCTCCTCAGAAGTTTCAGTGGAATCAGTGCCTAGTGTCCCTTAGTTTTACAATACTTAATCGACAATATATGCTTGATTGCTTTTTTAATGTAAACAAAGTGCAAATGGGTTATGAAATCACAGGATTTTTTTTTCTTCTTTCATGTTTCAACATTAAAACAAAGTTTTATTATTTAAAGACATTGCCTTTCCTTTATTATGTTGCCTTTCCTTTATTATGTGTCACAGCCTGACTCCCTGAGCATTGGGCACTTGGATGGGAAATTCCAAACCAACCAACCCAATTTACAGTAGATAAACTCCAAGACCATCCTTAGGATGCTCTGGGGTAAAGTAAGCACCAGAGGGAGATGTTGATTCAAGGAGGTACCACCCTCTAGTGGACACAGCAGTAAAAAATACTCCACTTTCTGAATAAATTTTCAAAAGAAACATTTAGCTATGTGCCTAGCTTTTCTGGGAGAAAGGACAAGCTTATTTACAATTGCTAAACTCTGGAGACATAACAGCAGCTCTCCATCATTATTTTGAGTAAAAGGTTTTGCACTCAATTTGACTCAAGATGTATGAAAACATTCTATATCTAACCCCAGTATGAAGTCTGTTTTTCATATCAACTTATTTTATTATGAACATGTATACTTCCTAACACATTCAATCACTACAAAAACACATACTTACTTCTCAAACAATGACAAATATAAAAAAATAAACTCAGCAGTAATAATCAATAATTGCAACTAATTTCTGGTTACTACACTTTCTGAAGGAGAAAGGTACATTCTTAACACTGTAGTGTGGGAGAAAAAGAACAAAATGGCAAAAAAAAAAATTAGAACAAATGAAAAATAGCACAAAAATATTTAATAAGGTTTATCTATTTAAAAAAATTTTTAACCATTCCCTTTTAATTTATGCACATAAAAGTTTGGAAATAATTTTTTGAAAAATCATTTTACAATTAGTCTTAATGATGCTTGTTAAAGACACTGGAAAAGAAAAAAGTGAAAAAATCATTTAAAATGCGGTAAAATAGGGCTGAGAGTATAATTTAGTGATAGAGTACTTGCTTAGCATTTGATCCCCAGCACCAGTAAATACACAGGAAAATAAAAAGGCAGAAGATACTAGAATTGAAAGTAAGGAAGAGAATTCCGGAAAACAGAAGTGGTGTGCAATGTGAATATGGAGAGACATGAGAGCTGGAGAAAGGAAACCAAGGACTGAGCGCACGACAAAATTGATAAAAAATACAGTATGGCTAAGGAATATATTATTGCTAAGTGTTAATCTATCTTTTCTACCCCAGACAAGTGTAAGTAAAAGGAGCATCAATTAAATTTTAAAACAGTGTGAAATGCTGCTAACAGCATTCTGAACCAGCTGCCAAAAGGAAATCAGACATATCTAGAAAAAGAAATCCATCCTACTGTTATGAAGTCGAGGTTGTTCCTTATATGTTGTGCCCAGCAAAGGACACAGAGGAGGGTCTTCTCTATATCCTCACATTGCAGATTCAGGTTCCAAAAGAAAAGGGGTGTGGGTGGTACAGCTGCCCATTTGGGTCCTACCTGAATGGCAAGGCACACCAGTGTCAGACACAAAATGCTTCCACTCCTTCTTGCCATATGCCTCTGCCAGGGCCTCTGGAGTCATCATCTTAGTGCCACGGCTTGCCCTAGATTTAGGAGATAATGCAGACTGCTCATTAAGGCTCCTTTGAATGCCCGTTCCTCTAGAACTGAGGTTGTTGACCCCAGCTTCTGCCAGAGCTATCAAAAGTTTTGTTCTTTTTTTTTCCGTTTTCAACTGGGTGACTTCCTGGTTACAATTCTATAAGGCATTTCTACTGACAGCTGTAGCTCTTCCTCCATTTAATGTATCCACTAGCAAGTGATTAGGAGCAGCTTGCTCTGAGGGCAATACTGTGTAACCCACCACTTTTTCATAGAGAAGCTGTTGTTTCACGAAATAATGAGATGAACATAACTCAAACAATTAGAAAACAACCATGTGGACTGGGTGGGAAGTTGGTTCTGGTACTAATAAGGAAGAACAGCAAGTACCAGAGTTAAAGCACAAGTTACACCAAGCCACAGGAGGCGCGGGAGGCACCAGGCACCTGGCACCAACAGCAGATGACTGTGAGCACATGGTACTGCAGAGACAAGGGAGGGCAACCTGCCCACTCAAGGACACAACACAGCCAAAGTATGGTGGGATGTAGCAAGAGGACCAAGGCAAAAGAGAACAAGACAAGAAAGTAGCTCTTGTGCATGCCCCAAATACTGCTTTTGAATCAACTGGGCCTGGTTAAGAGAAATTCCTGTAGGGAAGAAAATAGTTGATATTCTTTGTAGTTTATTATGAGAAATTATAATGATAGGGAATACCACTATCATTATCTTGGTACTATATTGTAGTAGCAAGATGATATGAAAGGAAACAGGGAATAAAAAAAGCAAATGGGGGCTGGGGTTGTGGTTCAGAGGTAGAGGGCTCGACCAGCATGCGTGAAGCACTGGGTTCAATCCCCAGCATCACATAAAAATAAAATAAAGATATTGTGTCCACCTGTAACTAAAAAATAATTATTAAAAAAAAAAATGCAAATGGGGGGAAACCACAGATGGGCCTTTATTTACAAAAAGATTCATGTTTTAGAATGCTATATGTTAATATGGAGGAATCCTGAATGGGAAATTTCATGAGAAGGCAACTGCATTGTTGGAAGAAAGAAGGTATCAAGAAGATAAGCTAAGAAATGCAGAAGAAACTTCAGGTTAGCCAGAACTTGAATAGGGAAGGACAGACCCTGGCGGAGGTTGACAGACTGACTAACAACAGTGAGAGAATGGCTGAAGATAGCCAAAAACACTATACCAAAGTGACCATGATCAAAGCTGTGCCATGTCTATATATATGTATGTATACATGCATACATACAAGCGTACACACTATCTCTAGTCACCTGAGAAAAAAACTTACGCAAATAAATTACAAAATAATCAGAGGCGAGGCCACACCTGCTCTAATTAGATGCACCTTGGGGAAGGTCTGGGAAGACTGAGAAAGAAGTCATGTCATACAAAAAGAATGATATGTTCAAAGACAGAATATATACAAGGGTTCCTGGGCTCCAAGTCTTCTTTGACTCTGGCTGTGTTGACATATGTAATAAATGGCACAACTTCATGGCCATGTTGATCTAATTATTAGTACTTGGTAAAAAACAGATGCCCATTCCTAGTGCTCTCTGAAAGGCTCAAAAGCAGGGACATCAGCTACTTCATGATTGCTTTCCACATGGTTACTAGCACCTGAAAGGGTTGGGTACACTCAGAGATGAGAGGAGAATAGGAAGTTAGTACCGACTATTGAAGAGAGGGAAAGGTTCGTGAGGACTGTAGGAGTCTAGAAAAACTTCCAGAAGGAGCTGGGATGCAACATGAGCCCTGCATGATGAATGATGTACACTTGGATAAATGGAAGAAAGGAAATATACATAGACCACCAATCCCTACCCAATATCCATTCCCCCTTCCTCTTCAATCAAAAGAATAATTGTTTTATTCTAGGCACCTACACACCTAGCTAAAACAGAATAATTCCCGAGCTCTTTTGCAATAAGGGGTGGTCAATAAGATGAAGCAAGTTACTAATTTTCTATTGTATTTCCTGCAAATACTTCAAACTAAATTTAAAGGAGCTAGACCTTTAAATCTAAAGCTTACAGATTTATATTTAAATGACTCAATAATTCATACAAAGACACACAGGCAAACAAATTATCTGTCATCTGATTAACTACAATAAAAGTGACTTTTTATTTAACTCATACCTTAAGAATCATACAGTAATACTGTATCCTGGAGAAAGTAAGATTTTAATTTCACAACTAAATTTTATTACCTGAGCACAGTGCCATTATCCGCAAGTTTAATGAAGGTCCCATCTTCCAGATCCAATGCCAAACCCTTGCAACTAAGGAAAGTTTGACTGTTAATCAATTCATATATTTAGCTAACTTAAGAAATAATAATCTATATTATTCAAAAGTTACAATGTTACAAAGGGATTCTCTTGCCCAGGCAAATGATATGTTAATCAAACAAAAAATCCAAGAATTAAAAATTAAATATCTATCACAAAAGAGGCATATAAGGAAAACTGTTAAATAGGCAAAGGGCAGTATGTTTAGTTTGTAAAACCTTTAGGTTTTAGAAAAGACAAATCTGACACTCAAAAGAGAGAGAGAAAAAAAAAACCCGAAAATTTTCCTATGCCTGTTAAAATGTGCAAATGTTATTTAAAATACATCTCTCTCTCTCTCTCTCTCTCTCTCTCTCTCTCCCCTCTCTCTCTCTCTTTCACACACACACACACACACACAGATCTGTTTTCTACAAGTTAACTTCTCACTACTTTCTTTAGGATTTGTCTCAATTTAGGTCCCCTCTGGGCAAGCCATATTATTGAAACCAAGTAAAATAAAGTCAGATATGAAGTTTTAAGTTATTTACTATAAAAGCCTTGTGGGATCTGGGGAGAAAAATGAGTATAGATTTATTATTTGAAATAATAAAAGGAGGTATAATTACCTGCAAACACCAAGAGATTACTAAAATCAAAGGCTGCTATAGCAGCATTACTTACATTCTTTCTAATTTGCGAAGCCAATTGTTTCATATATTAGGATGTTTGTTTTCTTCCTTTAATTTAAGGGATATATCAAAAGACTAACCAAATAACATAGGAATGTATGATATAAGAACATTATACATGCATTTTAGTGTTTTAGTGTTACTATTAATTTCAAACTGAATTATTTATTCATTCATTCACTTCTTCATTTGTTGTTATTTATTTATTTGATACCAGGGGTTTAACCCAGGGGCACTTAACCACTGAGCCATAATCCCTTTTTATTTTTTTGTTTTGAAACAAGGTCTTGCTAAGTTGCTTAGGGCCTTGCTAAGTTGCTGATGTTGGCCTTGAACTTGTGATCCTCCTGACTCAGTCTCCAGAGCCACTGGGATTGCAGGTGTGTGCTACTACTCAACCTCGCAGAACAATTTCAAGTGGCTTATGATTTTTGTTTGTGTCATTAAAATGAGGAAGAAAGATATAGGAGGCTTTGGGAAGCAGAGAATCCTAAACCAGGAATGAAGGGGGGCAATAAAAGGTAGGCAGGTTTGCCCAACCAAATTACCAAAACCAAAAGTTCTAGTGAAGTTACTTAAAACATGATGATTCCTCCTGTTTTACTGTTCTTTTATTTTAAGGATAATAAGTCAAATTCTTTACAAAGATGTAAATTTTAGTTCTTAATAAACTTTGAAAATTTTAATTATAACAAACCATATCTGAATTAGTCACCTAAGCTCTTAGTTTCTTTTCAGATCTAATTAAGCAAGTCTAAATGTGTTTAAAGTAGAAAATATTTTAACTCATTAGATGCAAAACTTAGTGTAGAAGGCATTTTGTCTTTTGACTCAATTTCACATTTTGCTTTCTACCTTTATAGAAGAGGAAACAGTAAAATTTTATCAGCAATAATTAAAAACCACAGGGAATGTGCAGACATTAAAAAAGAAGAAGAAAAAGAAAAGACTTACCAGAAATCCCAATCCTCTGGGGTCACAGTAAGCAATTCCTTATCATACCCTTTCTCCTTGACTAGGTACTGAGCAAAGCTATTATAAATGAGCTGCAAATAAGGAAAGGAAAAAGAGAGATTAAACATGAAATTCACTGTTCATTCTAAATTTCACAGATGAAAATTGAATGAAATCACTAATGGGAGTAGGAACACACCTGTAATTATAAAATTCTGCAGTATAATCCCCCTTCACGAGCAATTTATCAAGCCCTGTGAGCCCCAGGCAGCTATCCTGTCTAAAATTATACCATCAGTATACAATTATAAAACCAAGGATGATTATTAATCTTACTCCCAAATTCTAATGGACTGGAGATCATAATCAAGTCTTGACAAAGTTTTGCAATTTATTTAACACATCACCAAGACAAAAAACATGTTACCCAATCTCATTACATCTGTCCTTTCTTTCCATCCTTGCTGGGAAGACTCCCTCTCAGGGGCCTCTCAGAGTGAAATGCACATAGAAACCAGGCAGATAATCTGAAGGAGGAATTGTGAAGTAATGAGCCTCTACTAGGTAGAGGAAATCTCTCTCATTTCTCCACCAAAAGAAAAACAACTGAATAAGAAGAACAAAGTAAGCCTTTGGAAGCAAGCACAATGGTAAATGCTGACTTCTGATGGATCTGATTTCTCAGCAAGTCCTAGATATCTGAGTGAAACACCCATTGTTTGTTTATAGAACTGGCTCAATTTTTAAAGGACAGCATATACCAAACAAAAAGTGGACAAAAGGTGAATGATGGTACACATAGGCCCTACCCTCTACCTCAGGAGAGTATTTGTAGGTCTGAATCAGATGTATTTGAACCTGAGGCAGTGGTCTGGGTGTGACTGAGCTGTGTCCAAAAGGACACAAAGAACAATATGGCCCTTCTTCTATAGATGTTAACCCACAGTTGGTTGTGAGAGCATGTTATGCACAAGGAGAGAAAAGGTATAGTGCAAATGAGTGGCCTCTTTGTGTTAATGATGCTTACACGAATACCTGGAAGATACAGCAATGAGCTGGGTGAATCAGGAGAGGATGGAGAGCAAGCCAGTGCAGAAACTGAGGGGCCTGCACACAGCCGGAGTTGGGAGTTTGGGTGGAGTATGTGTGTTAAGAAATGGGAATAGAGAAAGCAAAGGCTCCAGTCAAATAGGGCTGTTCTCTGTCATAAAGCTAATTAAAATGACTAAACAAGTATTCCCATCCAATGCAAAGTGACCCTAATCCAGGTCAACAGTTAACAGACTCACAACACTTCAACACAATATTGCAGCAGTTCTCAACCCTGGAGGTGACTCAGAACCATAGGGGCTGTTTCCTAAAACCACCCAGGATTCCTACAGGGTTGGAAAAGGCATCTAAGAAATTCCTGAAGCCCCTAGAGTACTAAAAACCACTGACTCACATATTTTATGGATATTCACTATATTGTTAAAAATAAATTAAAAATGTATTTTTAGTTAGACATAATTATGAAAGCATGGAATATAATTGCCCTAATTCAGTCCCCAGTACTTCCCCTTTCCTCCCCTCTTCACTACTCCCCATTCCCTTCCCTCTACTGATCTTTCTGCTATTTACTTATAGTTGCTTTTTTTAAAATTAGTGCCTTATGGATATACACTATGGTGAGGTTCACTGTGGTATATTAATGTATGTACTAAGAAATTTAGGTTTGATTCATTCTACTGTTCTTCCCTCCCTCTCCCTCAACCTCCTTGTATGTATAAATAAAAAGAACCAATAAAATTTTACACACACATACACTATGAAGTTTTATTCAGCCACAATGAAGGAAATTATGTCATTTGTAGGAAACTGGGTGGAACTTGAGAGTATCATGTTCAGTGAAATAAGTCAGACTCAGAAAGTCAAGGATTGTATGTTCTTTCTATGTAGAAAGAAAGAAAAAAAATTAAAAAGGGACCTCATGAAAATAGAAGAGACCAATAGAGTTGAGGAGAGGGATCAAAGAGAGGGAGGAAGTGAGGGAAAGGGGGGATACTGGAAAATGCAACTGATCAAATTATATGGTTATATTGTGTGTTATGAATATGTAACAATAAATCCCATTATTATGTATAATTACAATGCATCAATAAAAAAAAAAGTAGATGCCAGGCGTGGTAGCTCTGGAGGCTGACAGGAAGATCATAAATTCAAAGCCAGCCTCAGCATCTTAGTGAGGCCCTGAATAACTTTGGGGATCCTGTCTCAAAATAAAAAATAAAATGGGTGGGGGATATGGGTCCGTGGGAAGGAAGGAAGGAGGGAAGGAAGGAAGGAGGGAAGGAAGGAAGGAAGGAAGGAAGGAAGGGTACAGAATATTCTCAATTCCTTGCTAAAGACTTGCATGGTTTCTTCCATATTCCCTAAACTTTTTCTCTTCACTTTTATTCAGACAGCAAGATTATTTTGATTCTCCAAAATATTAAAAATTCTAACCATTTCCTCTATTTGCTTTTACTGAAAGAGAAGCAAAGAGCATGGGAGGAAGGCAAAAAAAAAATGTAGTAGAAATAAATATGGGCCACTCTCAACTGTTAAAAACTGATAAATATACAAAGAAAAAAAGAGCTGCTGAAGAAACTGAATTCCAGCTAGCATTAATTCTTCATTTGGGATAAACTCAGGATGCTCCTGCATTTTTTGGCAGGGATGGGGGGAGGACCAGGGATTGAACTCAGGGGTGCTCCACCCCTGAACCACATCCCCAGCCCTATTTTATATTTTATTTAGAGACAGTGAACTGCTAGCAGTTCACTTTTGCTGAGGCTGGCTTTAAACTGGTAATCCTTCTGTCTCAGCCTCCAGAGCTACTAGGATTACAGGCATACACCACCACGCTCAGAGCTCCTACATTTTTAAATATGTTTACTTTTCATTCTTTAGTTTTCTTTTTTGCTATACTGAAGCATTCATGTTAACTTATGAACTGATGACCTATGTATAATTAAAATCTTAAAGACAGAATAAATGAACTATCTTGATTATTGTTGAGTGATAGAATCTTTTCATTTCCACAGTCTGGTGATATCCTGAATTCCCTTTATTTTTTTCCTGTTCCATCTTCAGAACAATTCAATCTGTTAAAAAATAACTATCATGGGGTGGAGTTGTGGCTCAGTGGTAGAGAGCTTGCCTAGCATGTGTGAGGCACTGGGTTCGATTCTCAGCACCACATTTAAATAAGTAAATAAAATAAAAAGGTCCATAAACAACTAACAAAAATATTTTTAAAAATAATAATTATCATGGCATAGACACATTCCTATCAAATCAACAATTTCTATCATTAAAATGCCTGTCACATTTTAAAAAATGCATTGAATCAGATTGAGGTACAAAGTATTATGGACAATAAAAGGTATACATCATGATCCTGCCTTCAGAGACTAGAGCCATGGGATTAACAGGCATGAAGTGCTTAGTGCAGTGTCTGACATATGGGCAAATCCAATTGAAGTATTTGCTATTATTATCAGTTGTGTGCTAATCAAAAAGATGAGAACAAAACACCACTCAGAGTTGTAGAGTTTGCCTATTCTTGCCATAGCCTGATTCAGTTTACCTGCCTGTACGCTGCCTGAACACTAAACAGAGTTTCCCTACACCTAAAATCCAGTTTTGCATACCGTTAGACTTGCTTCAGGTCATGGCACTTAAAGTCTCGGGTAAGAGGAATTTCTCACCCTTTGATGAGAAATTGATGATCAGTGTAAGATATGATCAGATGCCTTCTTGAGAAAAAGTGTCCCTGTCCATCAGGGCTGTCACCAGGGGCATCCAGGGCTGTTACCTCCTTTGTGGAGGGAACATTTCCATTAACAGGAGATAATGCAGCAATGTGCAAGGAGCAGAGAAAGACAGTGTTGAGAAAAGCAGAAGAATCTGTACCTTGAAACCCCTATTCTAGTCCTAAAGTCTTGGTTCTTACAGCTTATTCTTGGACCATGCCAGTCACCTAAGAAGCCTCCAGGGCTCAGGCCCTCCATCACTTCCTCCCATAGCCTAGAATTGCCACTTGCTTCCTCAGTCTCACATGACTAATAAGAACACACACTCCATGCAGTAAGTACAAATTGGTGCCTTGTGGGCCATAGGTAGCCCACAAATCATGTGTGGTTCCCACCTAAGGTTGCCAAGTAAAATAAAGAATACCTAGATAAATCTGATTTTCAGATGAACAGCAAATAGCTCCCTCCATAAGAATGTCCCATTTACTATTTAGGACATTCAAATGTTCTCGTCATTTGAAATTTGAATTTAACTGGGTATCCTAGATTTTTCTTTGATAAATCTGGCAACTCAGCAATGCTGTTGTGTGTGTGTGTGCATGGGGTGGGGGGAGGTAGCATTTGAACACCTTTCAAACAAGTTCAAATTCCTAGCTTGCCCAAAAACCTTAAAAAAGAAAAAAATAGAAGACCTGGCAAGATTGAGCCTCTCTTGGTTAATACCAGTAGGAGTCAAGTGTGGCTGCTCCTTCAGGAGGGGCACACACTTTACTGGCTGCCTGAGACACCTTCCTCCTCACATTTTGGTGAACTGCCTGGTATTAGACCTCTGTGTGCAAATCCAAGATATAGGTGTGATCCATCATCTCTCCCAGGATGCCTTTCCTGAGGCGCCAGGTAAAGAGACACACTCATGTCTGCATTTGCACAATACTCTGCACTTGCTAAATGCCTAGGAGACTTCAGGAAGAGGCTCTGCAGCTCCCTAAGACCAGACCACTGCTGACTTCTACAACCCTCGCCTTTTAAACAGCACCTAGCAGTTCATGCTATTGCTCCTCTCTAGGTCTTTGCTTTGGTTGTATTTCCTCCCTCTGAAGTACTTCTCTCCACCCCCCCACCCCCACTGCCTCATGGTGGTGAGAGGCAGAAACCTGCAGCCAGACTACCTTGCTGGGAAACTCTGGAAACATCCTTAACCTTTTTGTGCCTCGTAGTTCTCATTTCTGTGTACTGACTATGGCAATAATACCTAGCTCCAGGGACTTTGTGAAGACTAAATCAACTCATACATGCAAAATGCTTATTAGAATGGTGGCTCTATTATAACTACTTATTAGAATGTGTGTTATTTATTCAATCTTTTCACAATTATTGGTTGGGCCAAGTATGCCCAGCACAAAGTTGGCACACAGAACAAAAAGTAAACTGTTCTTAAACTGTCACACAGTCTGCCCTGGAGGAGGTATCACTTTAAGCACCTGGGGAAGACCTGACAAGTAAACAGGAAAAGTTAAAATTCTGTGGTAAGTGCTATGGGAAGTTGGGTTCTGTGGAAAGCTGGAGGTGGGACTGCGGTAAAGGGGTGAATTGCAGGGTGGTAGGGTGCTAAGGATGGCTTCCCAAAAGGAACAGTATTTAAAATCAGACCTGATTGCATAAAGAGTCACTGTGAGGAAGGCACCCCAGGCATAGGCAGAAGCAAGTAGCAAGACCCAGGAAAAACTGTCCTCATCATAGGGACTGTAGCTTTTCACCATCTTTGGCTTATTACTGGAGGATTCTGCCCACCAGGCACTGAAGGCCTACCTGTAGTTTACCTCCGTATCCCTGACACCATCTTGGTGCTCAGGATAATGTGGGACTTTAATAAAAGATTTAAATACCAAACATGATCCCAAACTCAGTAGGTTACTATTTTCAACCAGTAAACATCACTTATATTCAAGGCTTGTAGTAAAGGATATCTTGTAGTACAGTAAAAAAAATTCTTAACTGAAATTTTATGATCATGCATGCACAAAATTGGCTCTTAACCTTACAGTGGTTTAACAACATCCCCTGTAAATGAAGGTGAGTAGAGAGGAAATACATAGAAATATGACTATGACCAGAAATTTCAAAGGCACAGAGAAAGAGAAAATATGAAATCAAAGACCTAAGGGAATGACTGCCCAAAGAAAAAGGAAGAAAAGTCTTCTAACTCTCAATATGACTAAAGAAACCAAATATATACAATAAGAAAGCAGAAAAGTGCAGGAACAGTTTTGAAAAGTACATTTTTAAAGCATCTGTGCATAGAGAAAACACAGGAATAATTCAGGCAGCCACTCGTTTTTGACCTTGGAATATCTAACTGGGGCGGTGACATGACTATAATGAACAGCCCCTGCTGTCTGCACTAGTAACTTGGAATCCTACCCATACAAGGTGAGGTTTCCAAATAGTTTGGGTGGAAACCATAAAAGCAAACGCTTGTTTTTTTCCAGGGATTGATCTAAGCATTACATACGTATGCCAACCAACTTGATCCTTGCAAAAATCTTCTGAGGTAAACCCAATTATTAGCCCCATTTAAAGATGGAAGAATTGAGGATCATGGGTTAAGTAACTTGCCCAAAGTCATAGAGCTAGTCACGGCAGAGTTGGTGTACTAAGCTATGTAGTCTAAGGGATCCCTGTGCGCTACAAAAAATCCTGTTAATTTTTCAAAATTTGTTTCCTGTAAAGTCAAAGAAACAGGGAGGGAGGACCATTAATACAGGCACTCCACTTCCCCCTTCCTCCTGGGCAAGTGAGAAGTCAAACTTGGCATGATGTTAGGATTAGGATTTATTCAAAGTGCGTGGGGCATGGGGCAGGTGTAATAAATACTTATTATAGTCTCTTAGTAAAGGCGAAATCAGGGCTAAAGTCTTAATGATTTTCTTGGCTCGGTGTTCTAATTCACTACACAGTCTCTCTGCGACTTTGCTTAAACTCTGATAGGTGATCGCGTGGACACGCAAAAGTTAAACCGCAGCCACGGAAAATTAAATTGCCAAACCAGGTGCCCACGCCCAGTTGGTGCTTGGGACTCGCAAAGAGGCCAGGAATCCGTAAAGACACCTAAGTCTCCTCGGCCCTTCCCTTGCTCGCTCTAGAAACCGTTTTCCCTGGCAGATCTTGCAGAATTTGCCTCTCCAGTTCCCCTTCTTTCCCAAACCCCTCTCAAACTCCGCACATCCTTCCCGTGGGCAGGGAGCTGGAGGCACACTTCCGCCCGGTCTCGCGCTGGGGGCGGAGCTCTGCACCCGGGCGAGCGGCGGCAGGCCCACGGCCGCGGGAGGGACTTCCAGCCCCAGGCGCCATGGAGGCTGCGCGCGCTGCGCGCCCTGCGCTCCGGGCAGCCCGCGCCACTCACCGGGGCGCTCTCGGGCAGGTTGTAGCGACACAGAGTGTGGTCCAGGTCGAAGCCGACCACGTCGCAGGCGGCCAGGGAGAAGTGCTGAGCCATGGCTGCGCTGGGAACAATGGCGAACGCCTCAGCTGGGGAGGGTGTGAGGAGCGCGGGGACAGACGCTACGGGACGGGACCCAGCCGGACACGCCGGGGCGGGGCGAGGCGAGGCGAGGTGGGGCGGGGCGGGGCGGGGCGGGGCTGCCCCGGGAACCGCGCCGCGCCACTCCGACTTCCCCAGTCCTAGAGCGCCGCCCCTGGACACGCTTCTCCCCGCCCTTCGTGCGGCCAGCGTCTGGTGCCCCGCCGAGCTTGAGCTCACGCTGGTGGCTCTTCTGACACCTGCAAGCTGGCTCCGGCTGCGTGGTCCCTGGCCTGGAAGTCCTTTAGACCGGAGGACACCTGGAGCGGAGCCACTACTGCAGAAGTTGAGGAGCGCAGCCAAGAACCTGTTGGCACGTAACCTTTTAAGGGTTATGGCAGAATTAATCAAAACTCCCTTTCATCTTCAAGGTGCTGCGGAAACTAGCAGATCCTAGCTAAACCTGACCCTCTATTCTTGTGTGCAGAATAGTGTGATAAGATGGTGGAGAAAATTTTATCCACTAATAGTCCTCTGATCCAGTTAGCCTACAGTTTGGTAGGACTTTCCACCCACATGATCTCTGATGGTGGGCTGAATCAAAAGCTTTATATTCTACGGTTCCCTAAGTAATAAAACGAACACCTTTACCCCCCCCCCCCCACCGTATGTTACAAAATGACACTGGTTAATATTAGTTGTTACTTGATGAGTCTATTTTTTATCGTAACGAATTCTATGAAAGGACTTCAGAAACGTCATAAAAGTATATAGAACACACTACAATAGAGACTTATTTTTAAGCAAGGTTTTAAGACTTAAGGAGCACAAAATGATTTGAGTGACATTTTGCTTAACTTCTTCCAATATTGTATATAGTTAGTATTTTATAGGTAGAGAAGGGTTAATTCATTATGTACAATGGATGCCGTCGGGCATTTAATTATCTCAGAAACCCCTTCTATGTGAAGGACTAGACATTAAGATTTGTACTATACATCTCTTCATTTAAAAAATAAAATACAAATATATTGTTTTTATACTGCTTCTATTTTAAATTTAAAGGGACACTTAATCCAGTGGGAAAAATCAATAGTTATGACATAATGAAAATATAAATGATTTTGAATCACATTTAACCCTCAAAATATTAACTCTTGGGAGGCTAATAGAACAGCCAAGGGATTAATTTAGTGCAATAAATAGTGCAATTGAGTAGGATGGTTATAATGCCTACTGGACTCATTTGATTGTCTTAACCCTTAAAAGTAAAACAAAACTCTCAGAAATTAGAATTGAAATAGGAATAGGAAAAGAGTTCTCAAGAAGATTGAGCTGTTCCCTGATAAGAGCCCAACAACCACTTTACTGTCTGAACTAAAAAACTGGATAGTTTCATAGATTTAACCCATTTTCCTTTTCTTGAGTCTCTTGGCCTTGGAGGAGTTCACATTCCTTTTTTGACATCTGCAATGAAGTGTATAGCAAAACCTGACCTCTAGATAGGCTATGCATTGAAGGCCATGAGTCTCCTAGATGGATATCTTATTATATTATAGGAATGGGCACTTTAGAGATTGTCTTTGTAAGATAAATGCACTAGTATACTCATTTCCAGAAGGAAGAGTGTAAAAGTTTTGTTTCTTGATGACATAGTAAAAACTTCTCTTTATGACACCCCCATCCCAACAGTGTGCTAAACTGGGGGCAGGAAATTCTTTGGGGCAGGGGAGGGAACATAGACATCTTCAAAAAAAGACCTCTCAGTCTGTTACCAGGTGGTCCTGGAACTGGAGTTAATGCTTAGATAAGTTCATCACAGTCATATCTACTTGCTGAATAACAGTTGTTACATTTCTTATATTCCTAATGTCCACCTAAGAACCCATGTGCTAGATTCCACATTATTTATACTTAATGGGAGAATTTTGCAAATTATATGATCAAATGATTCTGGAGCATTGTACTCTTCTTTGAGGCCCACTCAGCTTTTCTTGATCACTATCTCATGCCTCAGTCTAAACATCTCTAAGAACATGTTTTTCTTCCCCCCGTTCCCTACAGAACCCTGAGCTTATATATGAACATTCACTTTGTTTCATCAGGCTTATTTTCAAATAAAGATGTTTCCTTTCCCTGAACATCAAACTTTTAACACCCTTTTATAAAACACCACAGCATTTTTATATCAACTAGAACTTCAATCATCTACTTAGATAGATAGAATATGCTAATTAATTTGTTTCTTTGAGTGAATGTTGTATTTATCAGTGCAAAAGTGACCTGTATCCCCAACAATTCATACATTGAAGTCTTAACCCCCAATGTGACTTTATTTGGAGACAGGGTTTTTAGGGAGATAATTAGGTTAAATAAGGTAAAAAAGGTTATAGGATCATAATCCTATAAATGCAGGAAGAAACACCAGATATCACAAGTGTAGAAGAAATACACTCTTTCCTGTGAGAACGCAGTGAAAATGTACCTGTCTGCAAGTCAAGAAGAGAGTCCTCACTAGAAACCAATCCTGGTGGTGCTTTGACCTTGGACTTCCAGTCTCATGAGAAAAAAAAAAAAAATTATGTCCAAAACTACCCATCTTGTGGTAGTTCTGTTTAGGCAGACTGATTAGACTCAATCAACTATGAGATTTGACTAATTGTTGATGGTTTGTTAAAAGTAGCAAATAGTATTTGCCATTGGAAAGATCCCTAAAGGACATTAATGTTATTTGTTGACTTTTTTTCTTGAATTTAGGTAATTTAGGAAAAGAGTTTATGCATAATATTTTTTAAATTTTTTTTTAGTTGTACATGGACACAATACCTTTATTTTATTTGGGTTTTTTTTTATGTGGTGCTGGGGATCGAACCCAGGACCTCATGCATGCTAGGTAAGTGCTTTATCACTGAACCACAACCCTGGCCCCTTGCTTATGCATAATATTAGTTTTAAATTTAGGTACTTTCACTTATGAATAACGGTAATACTATCTTTTGCAGTGTTAGTATTTTTTAAGTATTCCATTTAGGGAGTTTTATAACTATAATTATAATTTTTAAAAACTCAGAAATAAGATATTATAATTTAATTGATTTTCTAGAGTCAAATTTCACAATTGCAGCTGATCTATCTTTTAATAAAGATATTACTATAAGTTAGCAATTTTAACCTTAGATATGACTTTATTTATTATTCATTATTTACCTAAATCACAACTTTGTGAGGATTTGGCTTAAGTTTTAGATTCTAAAATAACGCATTAAATGATCTTTAGTATACTTATAATACTGCATTTTAACATATGCCCTGAAAAAACATTACTTTACAAACTCTTATTTTGGGAGAGGGGGAAATGATCTCTTTTTCATTGGTTTAAAATACGATTTTCTAAATATTCCAAATTAAACAATGGAATGTTCAACTTTTTATATAATGTAAGCAATTCTACATATCTTCTCTGGGCCATAACTTGCTTAAAATATAACAATAACATTATTTAGTAATTTAAAAACATGACAAAATATACAAATGCCTAAAAATTAATCTCTATGCCACTTTTAAATATTAGCCTTTGAACTAAGTAGAACCAAAAACTGATTTGTAATACCATATAAAGCCATTAGATGGCAGTATTTCTGCATTAGGAATGTTTTCAGTTTGTTTTCTTTTGTAATGTTTAGATCTTTAAGCTTCTTAGTGAAAATATTTCATTTTCTGGTCTCTAGTTCTGCTCTTGACACAAGAAAAGAAGCCTTCTTAGGAATTTCACTGTGTTTCTTGTGGGTGTATTTATTTTTGATGATAGAGAGGAGGATGTGATGGGATGAAACTCTTTGGTGAAAACCTCTTATATAGGTTGTGTTTGGACAAGGAACCAAATATTTAAAATATGAAATGAGTTTCTCTTGGAGAGAAAGCTAAAAAATTAAACAGAATAATTGTGATTCAAAATAATTGTGATCTCAAATGATGGAACAATGGGTTGAAATTTTATTAGGACATAGGTTTTGGAAGTAGGTTGGGATAATTAACAGTATATGATGTAGAATTTTTATTTACTAAGCAATTAAATTGGAAATGAAATGTGGATAGACTCAAGGTAAACTCAGCTAGTTCCAATTTAAATTCTGGGTCTCTTTGATTGACAATAACGTCACAGTTCTTCCCTTTGATTTTGACTTCTCCTTTTAAGGGTGTTGAGTTTCTAAATTGCAGAAGGATTGGTAACATACTGTCAAAGAATCTGGAGAGAACTTTTTGGTCCTTGGTCAGTGACATTCATATTCATGGCTTTTCCTGAAACAGACCTATTTGGCTGCTTTTGGTTGCCTTTGGCCACACTGGCAACATCAGTAACCATCCCTCTATATAAAATATAAAATTTCTCTTGTTTAAGTGTTGTCAGAAAAATGTCTAAACTTTAACCCCAAACCTGAGCCATTTAAAACTTGCCACTCTACACTCAGTGAACCCAGCAACTTCCTTGCATAGTTGAGGAAATCTTCAATTTAGAACTACAAGGGGGAAAAAGCCTATGCTACGGCGATAGGGAGGTGGGTGATTATCTCAGGCCCACTTTCTGTCTAGATGTGGCCCACTGTTCTGATTCCAGTGACTGTCCCTATGTCACAAGACACGGTGAAAAGGTGTTTTCTCTCAAAATTCCAAATGCAAATCAAATCTAATTGTCTGCTTTTGGATCCTAAGCTCACATGGAGGGTTTTCTTGTTTCCCATGCAAGGGATATGACCATTCAATAGGATAGAGTATAGGACCCAAAAAGGAGCTTATTGTCATGTTCTCTATCCTATTTTCCAATTTAATACCTAATTAAATTTGAATGTCCCAGATATTACATGGGACATACTAATACTTAAAAAATACTAATACCCATTTTGAGATAAACTTTTTTGGAATTTTTTCAAATTGATATTTTTTCAGAAGCCCAGAATATGAAAAATCAAATGTGCCTTAATGTTTGTCATAGGCTGAATTGTGTCTCTCCAAAATTCATGTCAAAACCATAACACTTCATACCTCAG